ATATATGGACGAGCGTGTGCGCACACACATACATACATAATACATTTATTTATTTATTGTAAATGTTCATCTCTTATGCATGGGAATCAAACAACATGGAAACTGATTCCTTAAGGTATTTGTGCTAGATGTGCAGATTCTAAATGCACAAAATTACAATATCATTTAAGTCTATAAGAATGCTCGTTCATGCAGAGCATACTAGATAATTATAGGTGTATGTACTTGTATGTGTGGATGCATGTCCGCATCAATGCATTCATTTAACATTAGTCAGTAACAACTCACAAGAAGAAAGATTTAATCTTTTTCAAGATCAAAACTAAATGATTAATTAATTGTTGTTCAACTTACTGTAATCCCATTGGTATAGTTGTAAACTTGTAATGTTTCCCTCACTTTTCCTTACATAAAATGAATGGTAGGTTAGAAACATCTTAATAGATTGTCATGGTAGCTCTTAATATCAAGAATGCAATCAAAGGTTATTTATTCCAGATATAATAAATAATAGGGACTTTACTATAGGACGGACACACTTTTATGTATGAGTTCAAACAGGCTTCTAACCCTATTTAAATCATGAATCCAATGTTTGATATCAAAGTGCTACTAACAAAGTCATTATTAGCACCATTTTGTCCTATCCACAAAAATATCAACCTGAACCGTCTTTGTGATGTCACACATATCATAAAACACGCTAGATTGGATATATAATCTATACTTAATGCTAAAAGACAGCTCATCATATTGTACATCTACTGGCTTATGCATTTATGGAAGGACGGCATGTGACATGTCGATTGAAATGTCATTTTATTGGGCTTGCCACAACGAGAGATTTTACATATTGTTTATTGCCTCTAATAAATTATCACCAATATATTTATATATTTCTGATATATCAGACAACATTTTGGGTTTCCCCAATATATTGAACAACATTACGACATCAAGAAACTAGTCGATATGGTGCCATAATGGATTTTGTATTAAAATTTATTCTAAAGATCAGATTTAGGTTCAGTGCTCTATTGAATTTTAAAACTAAACCTGAACCCACTTTATATAAATGTCAAAATAGGAGTAAACTCAATTAAGCCCTAAGGATCGCCTGATTATTCTCGACTCGGGAGTCTCTTCATCTTAAATTGATTATCAACCATTGCCTCTTCATCTTGGACAGCTTGGTAAGCCCCTCCTCTTTCTCGATCTCTTTGCTTCTCTTGTCTCCTTGTAGCTGTATATCTCAACCTCATTGTCCCTAAAATTATCATGTTTATATAATTTGAAATTTTTGTATGTTTAGATTTCAATTAGACATCTAAAATATGAACATAACCATCCAATATGAAGTATGTTCACTAAATATCCCTGAGATCCATCGTCCAATATGGATGTTTTTATCTAAGTATGAGACGACACCAATATCTGACGTTTAGATCGACTTTGATTGTGAATAGGAAGTTAGGAAGCTAGTTGATAATTATAAGTCACTCACATGATGATGTCACAACAACTAAGATAAAGGTGAAAGGAGCACCTTCGCGCAATGTTTTGAAAAGCACCAGGCTAGCCCACCGAGGCTCATGCCTACACCTAGGTTGTACCTAGGCTGTCAACCTAGGTCTTGGGAGTGTAGGCTTGTGTAGTACCTTATGCGGACTAGTCCACTTGGGTCTTGATCGTAATTTCCTCGAAAGCCACCAATCTCCTCAAACTTCTTCAGCCTCCTCCACAACTACACACACCTAAGCCCAACTCCTCCAACCTTCAGGATACCTCTTCCACCATTTAAACAAAAAGAAGAAGTCTTCAAGAAGAAGAGAAATAGATTAGAATCGAAGAGAAATAGATTTAGATGATTACACCACGTATTAGACTATTCATTTTTTTTTTTTTGCTGATATGTTGAGCATTAAGCTTCTAAATTTGGGATATTATGTATCGCTGACATTGATTTACTGTTTTGGTGTTCTTTATTATTTACCATTTAGTATATTAATGCACAATTGATTATAAATCTATGACCATTATGTATTTTTTTTCAATTTTTTATAATTTTAATGTATTTATTCAATTATTGTAATTAAAATCAAAAAATGGAAAACTGTCAAGGTGCCTAGGCCCCCTAGCGCTTTCTACAACATTGCCTTCACACAGTTCACAAGGAGAAGAAGAGGACATTGCCTTCACACAGTTCACGAGGGGAAGAAAAGGACAGAAGGTGGGCATGCAGTTAGATTAGAAGATAAGTATTAATATACACCAATCTTATTTGAAAACAGACGATTTCTACTAAGGGGAAGAAGAGGACAGAAGGTGGGCATGCAGTTAGATTAGAAGACAAGTATAAATATACATCAAACTTATTTGAAAACAGACGATTTCTACTTAACTGAAGGCTTAGCTTTTAGGACAAAACTATAGATCATTGAACCGTCTATATTTATGTCTTTATATATGTTGTAAACACTGCATAAATTATGAATTTATAAGCATTAAGAATTTAAGAAAATAGTGCATATGGATTTATGCATGCCTCAGGTAAAAGACCAAGGCTGAGACGAAATTTTAAGAAAGAAGTTTCCTTTATGATAGTTATAACGTTTGTTTACATACCAAAAACAAAATAAACAATGTGTCTGGTTCCAAGGATCAATCATTTTCTTCTAAATGACAAACTAGATTTTTTGGAACTTCAAAAGACAATTTATAATTCTCCATATGTATGCCAGAAAAACCATGGAAATACTACAATCCTCTAGAAGAGAAATATTTTTCTATATAGTCTATTTCATGAAATATAAGTAGAAAAATTATGGGATCAATAGCCAATTTATGATTCTCCATATGTATGAAATACTTCAAAAGCCAATTTATGATTCTCCATATGTATGCCAGAAAAACTATGGAAATACTACAATCCTCTAGAAGAGAAATATTTTTCTATATAATCTATTTCAAGAAATAAATGTAGAAAATTTATGGGATCAATAGCATCTCTGCTTGCACATGAGAATGAGAAATTGGACTCTTATCCAATAAAGTTAATAAATTAATTTTGCTTAATTTAAATTTATCTCCAAGTCTGCACATTTGAAGCAAGTTCTTCCAGTCAAAAAAGACTTAAGATCAAAGCAGGCTATTGAAAAACTATTACTTTTCCAGAATTTTGGAGAATAATACGTGGAACAAAGTAAATAAAGTACTTGAACTAGATTCAATAGTTTCAGTTTACACAGCTGTGCACATAATTGTTTCCATCCAGAACCATTGAGAGAATAGTGGATATCAATTGCAAACTAATGTATTGGCTACTAAGAAGGATTGCAGAAAGTAACATTCGTCTAATGCTTTTCAGATTATTCCCTTTATGATGTAATTTGCTTTACTTTTACCATTCATGTCATATTACAATGTGGCATGCCTAACGAAGCATAAAGATTTGAGGTTCATATGCATGTGATTAGCTCTAAAACAATTGAAAGAGTCCAACCTATTACTATCAGCTAAAAGTGGAGACAATAAGCCTACAATATTTGAGCAAGAACCATTTAGGAGAATTTTCTCCATTTAACTTCATGCATTTTCAAGCATGACCTTCGAGTGATGATCCCCAGACTCCTAAATCTATGAAACCACTGGTCTCCATTCCACATCCAAATTGTTCAAAACAAATCTACCCCAATTGTTCTAAAGATATGAATAACTACTAGGATTGCACTAATTTCATACCCTAGCACTCCATCTAAACATTTTCATTTCAGGCATAACATCTTTTTCATTCAAGAACAGGCAGTGAGTTACTCTAAATATAAACAACACTTACGACTAAGCTTATAAAAAAAATATTATGATTATTCATTTCTGCACATTCACAGAACATTTAGTTAAGATCATAAACATTTGTTAATCAGTTGCATCTGAACTCACCCAAATGTGATGCTTGCATTTGCAGGTGTGGTATGATGATTACCCGAAACCTGATTATAAGTCACAACATCAGTCACGTAAACCCCACCACTCGAGCTCCCATCACCGTACATCACTTTATACGAACACGGCACATTATCAATGCAATCGGGGCTCCCGCTATACGTAGCTTGGCAGAAGCTATCATCACATGCCACGGAGCTACCGCTGGACGAACTTCTCGGATCATACAGGGTCAATTCTATCTTCATTCAAAGCAAACTAAGAAACAATAAGCGAAAAAACACAAAAAGATTGAGTGTTTAAGGAGAGAAAACACAGGATAGAATATACCCCAAGGTTGCTCTTTTTTGGGCAATTCGTGCAAGTAATGCAATTCACCCACAAAAGATCGCTCCCGGTGTCCACCTGCACGTAGTAGTTCTTCGAGGGCGTGCCGATCCCAATCTGAGCGTAGTACAACCTAATTTCAACCCCCATCAAAAAATCAACCATAAAATACCAAAAATACACAAAAAATAAACAAGAGTAGGAGGAAGATGAGGTACCCAGCTTCGGTGCGGCAGGGCCCGATGCCGGGGGCGAGATCTATGGCGGTCGTCAGCGGAGGCGAGGATGCGGCGTGGCGGCGGCGCGTCGTGAGTCTTGAGATCGGCGAGGGAGCGAATGACTGCGGCCCGGCGAACTTGCGCCTGTACCTTGAAAACCCCAATACCATCGACATCGGAGGCCATCATCAATAGAAACAAGAAGAAAGCAGGAGCAGCATAGACACAATGGAATCTCAACAAATCCATCACAAATCCTTTTTATTATCTGCTAATAATTTCGAAACAGTGTATGCATAAATCAAGAGCTGAAGAGGTTTGGATTGATTCTAGTTCTTTTCTTCGGGGTAAAGGAAAAGGGTTCTTTTTTTTTTTTTTGAACAATTTTGACCGGAGGTGAGGGGTCGGGGACGGAAGGGCCCGAATCAGGAGGGAAGGGGAAGCAAGAGGGAGAGAAGAAAGGAAGAGCGACGGTTGACGAGTTGTTATTATTATTATATAGTAGGAGACCATGTGTATAGTCGATAGTCTAACACACTAACAATTTGCTTATATTTTTTTAATTAGCAAGAGGAGGAATGAAAATTAGAAATTTTAATTATTTTCTCAACCTTTCAAAAGTTAGTGGATTGATAGGGGAAGGGATGGTCTTCAAGTGGAATTTTCTTACAAGTCTAATATTGACCTACATGGGAAAGCCAAAAGTTGTTCTTTCTTATTTTATTAAAATGGTATGCTTGTCAAATAGCTCCCCTTTCCTTCTCATTCCCTACTCTAAACAAACACATCTTATAGTGTACACTCACATACCCTCGTTGCCTATCCAAACACAAATGAATACATTCCACCATTTTCTTTTCCACTCGCTCCCGTTGGGTTTAAGTCAATCACTCCCCTCCCTTCCCCTTCTTGTATCCAAACCGACCATAAACTTTTTTATTACAGCTTGGTGGTGGTCCCGGTCTACATTCCAGGACAAACATGGTTTTTAGTGGGTTTTGATGGAATATTTCCACATTTAAGTCAAAACTAAAATCCATTTGCTTTTCTAATTAAAAAAGAGGAGAAGATAGTTAGTAATTCACTGTTCAATTAATACATTTCCAATATTTGATATTTAACTTATCTTAATAAAATTTTAGAACTTACGTACACGCAATATATAGATAAGAGTCTTGGGTGGAATCATTTGGTTTACATAAAAACTTTTCACGGGGATGAACTGTTGGATTTAAATCTAATTAAATATATTTGTGGGCACATATGTTATATCAGTGTGTGTTGCTATCTTTCAGTTGACACGCATAAAGTGGTCAATCAGGTAATTGGATCAATGGGTACTTAAATATGTCATGGGCTAAATGTGCGGATATCAGGTTGTAATTATAATTTGATGATGGGCCAAATTATAAAAGTACAACTATAAATAAGGGGTTATGGTCCCTAATCTAGGGTGACACTCTCATTCTCTCCACCCCCATCTAAAGAGAATTTCAAAAGAGAGAACCATTAAGATTAGAAGATCATCAAAACCCAAATTTCAGATTCTTGCAATGGATTCAGGTATTGCTTCCGCTCATTGTTGTTTTTATTCTCTTTGAATTAATCATGGTTTTATGGATTAGATCTCAGATATTTAGATCTAACAAGTAGTATCAGAGCCACTCGTGATTAATTCTTAGGGGTTTAAGTTTTAAATTGGGTTTTTTGATCTTAAATCTCTGGTTTTTCAGAACTGTTCTTGGATGAACAGTAAAAGGTTCGTTTTTGTTTGATTTTTTCTTTCGATTTTGGATCTGTTGCACTCATGAACTGTAAAGTTCATCTCTTTTTTGGTTTGATTCTGTTTTGGATGTGTGGATAAGAAATAGATTCAAGTTTTGGATTTGGATTGAGTTCAAAATTGACAAAAAAACGGTTTTTTTTGTTTTGGTTTGTCGTCGTTCTTCAACTGCTCGCCGGAGCTGAATCGACGGTAGCCCCACTGTCAGTGGTGGCGGCTGTTTTCAGAACGAAACTCCAAGGGGTGTTCGTTAGTTGCAGCTCTGGCGGCGGTGGTTTCAGAATAAAACCTCAAGGAATTCGTGCATGAAAACACAGCGAAAAATTAGGGCAAAAAGAGGGAGTTACCTTAATTCTCAGGCGAGCCTCGTGCTCGATCCAAACGAACCCCGCGTTCGTTCTTAAGTCAAACCCTGCGTTCGTTCTCAAGTCAAACCCTGCGTTCGTTCTCAAGTCGAACCCTGCGTTCATTCTCAGGAGAACCTCATGCTCGATCCAAACGAACCATGCGTTCGTTCTCAAGTTGAACCTCACGTTCGTTCTAAAGTTAAACCTCGCGTTCATCCTCAGGCGAGCCTTGTGCTCAATCCAAACAAACCTCGCGTTTGTTCTCAAGTCGAACCCCGCATTCATCCTCAGGCAAGTCTCGTGCTCACTTCAAATGAACCCTGCGTTCGTTCTCAAATGAACATTGTGATCCTTCTATTGTTCTTCTTTTTCCGTCGGGTGAAAGAAGAAGGATGCAGGCAATTTGAGTTAGGGCACATCCCACTTAACTCTATTTGGTTTTGGGCCTATTTTTGGTATGCTTAATTTGATTAATTAAGCTATGAGGCCCTAATTAAGTTTTTGGACATTTTTTTGTTAATTTGAATTAAATTATTTAATTCGAATTAAAATTGGTAGTTAATCAATTATTTAATTCAAATAATATAACACTAAGGTATTATATTTGTCTCTCATTCCAAATAATTAATTGAAACAAAAAGTTGCTAAAGTAACCTCTCTTGTGTAAATTGTTCATGAGGGATGTTAGATGGTTGTGTGTATGTTTTCGTATAAATATTTAATCGGCTCAAAGGAAGGTTAATATTTATTTAGACTGCGTACACATCTGTAATGATAAATATGTGATAATTATAAGGTTCACATGTGAATAATGAATCAATCCAAAGATAGTTTCATTATTTGACATGAGTTATTGTTAATGTTTGATCATTGCAATAAGGTATCACTTACAAGTTAATATTACTGTCCAAAGACTTGATATTAATGTTGTGCCAGATATCTTAAGATGAGATTTGTCATTATTTGAATATTATTGATTACGAATTACAGTTAATAATGTGAGTATCTTTTGTATATTTCAGCTAATGCATCTGCTGTAACAATTTCTGCTAACATCAACTCAATTCTCATGCTCAATGAGACTAATTTTAAGGTTTGGAAAGAGAACATATTAATTGTTCTTGGATGTATGGATCTAGACCTTGCATTAAGAACTGAACAACCTCAACCTCTCAATGCAGATAACACTCCTGGTGTAAAGAATGAGTATGATAAATGGGAGCGTTCAAACCGCATGAGTCTTAAGATCATTAAGCGTGGCGTTCCGGAAGCCTTCAAGGGCATAGAATCCGAAGGGATTACTAAGGCTAAAGATTTCCTTGCCGAAATTGAGAAGCGTTTTGTGAAAAACGATAAGGTAGAAACAAGCACACTTTTAGCTCGCTTGATTTCGATGAAGTATAAGGGCAAAGGAAATATCAGGGAGTACATTATGGAAATGTCTCATATTGTTTCAAAACTTAAGGCGCTTAAACTCGATCTTTGCGATGAGTTATTGGTGCATCTGGTTCTGTTGTCTCTTCCTACACAGTTCAGTCAGTTCAAGGTCAATTACAACTACCAAAAGGAGAAATGGACTCTAAACAAGCATTCATACTGTGTGCAAGAAGAAGACAAGTTGAAGCAAGATAAGACAGAAAGTGCTCATTTGGCTTATGTCTCTAAGGATAAGGATAAGAAAAGAAAGAATAATAATGAAACTACTAAGGGTCCAGTTCAGAAGAAACAACATAAAGATAATCATGGTTGTTTCTTCTGTAACAAGCCTGAACACGTAAAGAAAGATTGTACCAAATATCACGTCTGGCGTGCTAATAAGAGTACGTTTCTTACTTTGATTTGTTCTGAGGTTAATTTAGCTTTAGTACCTAGAAATACTTGGTGGTTAGACTTTAGTGTTACTACTCACGTAAATATTTCTATGCAGGGTTGCCTGAGCTACCGAAAACCAAGTGATGTTGAAAGACACATCTTTGTGGGTGACGGACAATCGGTAGATTTGGAGGCAATTAGGTATTTTAGGTTGTTATTAGGAACTAGTTCTTATTTGGATCTGAAAGATACTTTTGTAGTACCGTCTTTTAGATAGAATTTGGTTTATATTTCTGTACTGGACAAATCAGGTTATCATTGTTTATTCGAAAACAGTCAATTCAATTTATCTTTTAATTCAAATGTTGTGGGAACCGATTACTTGAGTACTTATGACAACCTATATTTGCTTGATATAATTGCTTCTTATAATGAATCCTTGCATGTGGAATCACGTGGTACTAAACGTAAATTAAATAAGGAAAATTCAGCTACATTATGGCATAAGTGCTTGGGTCATATCTCAAAAGATAGAGTTGAGCGTCTTGTGTCTGATGACATTTTAAATTCCTTTGATTTTTTAGATTTCAACGTATGTGTTGAATGTATTAAGGAAAAACATACCAAAGTTAAGAGATTAGGTGCCAACAGATCTTCGAAAGTCTTAGAATTGATACATACAGATATTTGTGGGTCATTCCCTACGAAATCTTATAATGGTTAACAATATTTTATATTATTCATAGATGATTACTCATGTTATGGATACCTATATCTCATTCATGAGAAATCTGAGTCTCTAGACATGTTCAAAGCCTATAAAGGTAAAGTTGAGAATTAACCAACAAAAGAATTAAAACCGTTAGATCTGATCATGGTGTTGAATATTATATCTCCGTGATAGTATTTTGATGATAATAATT